GGACTTGAACATATATTTTCAGGGGACACGTTTCAACCCACAGCACACACCTGGTTGGTTTAAAAAGGTCTAGTACTAGTTCAGTGAGGCTTTCTGAGCAGTTGGCTTCAGGTTTTGTTTTGTTTCAGGGTGGTCATGGGATGAGGGGTCCAGCCAGTGCCGGGGGAGGGAGTCCCCAGGCTTTCTTGTCAGCTGGCCTCAGCGTGGGGCAGGAGGGGAAGTGGCAGGTCTTAAAAGCTGTCAGCATCAACCAGCAGAAATCGGGTCAGACTTTTTATCATCCAAAGCGGTTAACAATACGTTGCTGGCCGCATGACGGTAAGCAAAATTGCCCCGGTTTGTCTAGCATCCTCCTGTTTGGGATGGTTTTCTATCTTCTTGTTTTCTTGGCACCACCTGCTAAAGGAGCTGGGTTTGTCGCTGGGCATTAGCCCTGCTCATGAGGTTTGGACAGTTCGTTCTGGGCACTGAAGGACACTGTCCAAGGAGGGGGCAACTCTGAGGTGGGCAGGTGTCTCTGTTGTCAGAGGGCGGTCAAACACCCTGGTCTCTGGAATCAGAATCTCCAGGTCTAAGTAGAAAAGTTCTGCAGGTCAATCTGCTGGGCAATTGGAAAAAGAGAGGAAAAAGCATGGACGAGGGCAGTATGCTTGGCCGCATCACCCAGGAGAGACGGCTGGTGAGGCCGCTGGTTGTCAGGGTCCTCATTTCTCCTGCAGACTCCAGGGGAGCCTTCGGAGGGTGCAAGCCAGAATGTCTGCTTACTGACTTAGCAAGGAAGAACTGCTAGACACACGGGGCCCTCAGGGCTGTGGGCAGGTCACCCCTCGTCTGTGTGTGGAGACCCCCCAGGTTTGGTCAGCACGGAGGCCAGGGGCCCACGCCCACCCTGGGTCTCTGTGCCCTTGGCCCCGGGCAGGACCGGAGCTGGGCTCCGACTTTGGCTTCCACACCCCGCATGGGCCTCACGAGAAGACTGACCCCTCGGTGGGGTTCACTTCACCCTAAGGGAGTGACACGGCCTCACGGAAGCCGGAAGCTGATCCTCTAGAGTCGGTGGCCAGAAGGAGCGACAGCAGTGTGACTGGATGAAAGGGGGAGAGGATTGGTTAATATGTTGAATCATTTTCAAAAGGGCAAAGGCATTTTCTTGGTACTTTCCTGTATTTTATATTTGTTTTATTTTGGAGATCAGAAGCAGACACTAATGATATTAGTAGTTTTCCAAGCCTGCTTTGCGGAAAGCCCCCTGGGCTGCGTCTGGGGCCCCAGTGAGCGCACTTGGTTCCCACTGTCTTGGCCACAGGCCGCTTAGCAGGGCTGTTACTCACAACGGTGCTGGTTGGGAGTTGGCAGATGGTCTGATTTTTATGATTCCTGTAATTACTAGCTATAATTGTAAGTTACCTAAAATCTATCCGAGTCTTAGAAGTAATGAACCCAAAGGGAACCAGAAAACTCATGTTTGGGTCTGGCTGTGTTTGCTCGCTGGGTGGTATTGGGCAGATCTTTATGCCCTGTGTCCACCTTGCAGGATGGTTTGGGGTCTTATGCTCATCTGCTCAGGGCATCATCACGAGGCCCACAGGCCAGGCGACTTCAGCAACTGATGCTTGTTTCTCACTGTCCCGGAAGCTGGATGCCCCGATGGCCGTGTGGTCAGCTTTGGGGTCTCCTGAGGCCTCCGTCTCAGGCTCCTTGCTCTGTATTCACGTGGCCGTTTCTGTGCAGATGCGGAGACAGCCAGCTCTCCACCCTGTCATCTTGTAGGATGTCGGAGCAGGGCCCAAGCCTTGAGACCTCATTTACCTGGGATCACCCCCTGAAATGGTATTCTCACCCCGGTTCTAATGTTGTGTGTGGAGGGGTTCCCTCCACACCAAGAATTTGGAGACACCAGCAGGGTGTCTGACCCTGTCCACCTGGAGACAGCCTCAGATCCCATGGGGTCAAGGTTCAGTCCTGCAGGACCCCCCCTCCTGCCTGCTCCCACCCCCACTTCAGATGCTGCCATGCTTGTGGCTGATGGGCGACAGACTGGGGGTCCCATGAGCAGCGCCAGCCTAGGATCCCAGTGGCAAGAGTCCAGGTCATCACCCATACGTGGGGCTGACTGGCTGTAAATCAGAGGTTTCTGGGACCCCTCCTTGGGTTCCATGAATTTGCTGGCGTGACTCACAGAACTCAAGGAAATATTTTCCTTACTAGTTGACCCATCTATTATAACAGGATGTAATTCAGGAATGGCCAGAGGGGAGCTGGGCACAGGGCGAGGTCTGTAGGAAGGGGCAAGGAGCTTCCGAGCCCTTCCAGAGCCTGCCGTTCTCCCCAGATCTCACATTCACTGACCTGGAAGCTTCAGAACCCTGTCCTCTTGGGGTTTTATGGGGGATTCACGACACAGGCATGCGTGGTTAACTCATTGGCCATTGGTGATTGGTTCAACCTCCAGCCCCTCTCCCCTGCCAGGACGTCGTGCGGGGGGGTGGACTGAAAGTTCCAACCACACGATTGGTTCCCCGGGCAACCTGCCCCCTGCCCCCATCCTTAGGTGCTTTCCAAAACTCACCTGTAGGAGCTTTGTGCCAGAAAGGGAGACGAAGACCAGATGTCACAGGTCCCTCTCCAAGTACGGTGATGCTGGAGGTTAGGGTTTCAGCATTGGGGTCTGGGCGCAGTTCAGGCCACGCGAGCGTTCTGGGTGGAGCTTTCAAGCAGACAGCACGGGACTTAGCTGAGCTTCTGCTGCCTCCTGCCAGGCTGGGCCCTGCCCGTGGTTCACAGCACCGGGACGCGATCACGTGGTGTTTGTTGACAAGGGTGACGGGCCGATTTCTCTGTACGTGTTTATACACTAGCACAAGCTCAGGTCATCCCTGCGATAATGTCACTTACGTGCTTTGCTGTGTGGGAAGGAACGGGTTGAGGTTCAGCCCCTGTCCTGGGAGCGGCCCGAGCGCGTGTCCAGGGAGCCCATGTGCTGTGAGTGGAGGCCTGGCGATCCCCCGGGATTTTGGGTGTTGTGTGCGTGGCCAGCAGGCCAGGCTGCTTTTCTGGGGACTAGTTTTAACCTGTTGTGTTGTTGTCTATTTTAAGGGTTTTTTTCCTTACTACAAAAGCAATGAATATTTCTTATTTTTTATCAGCGTCAGAGTCCGAGTGTTGCTTAGCACTCTGCACTGGACAGGGGCTCAAAGCCACGAACACAGTGACCGCAGCGGGCAGAGGACGAGGCCCCCAAAGAACATGCTGGAAGACCCACCGGGGGGTCCGGAGTTTCCTCTGGGAGGGTGGATTTGATGTGTTTTTCTGGAGAATTAAGGGGAGCTGGTTCGCTGTGGCTGCGCAGGTCTTGCACAGAGTTCAGGGTCAGTGCAGTGTTGGAAGAGGCCGTGGAGAATCTGGTCTCCTCAGGGTACCCGCATGTCTTACTCTGACCCACTCTGACCCTGCTCACTACATCACTTTTATTGCTCTTTCAGTCTTAATTAATACATACTTCTGCTTAAAGAAACTCAAATAGGACAAAATAAACACATGTCCCTGCTACCCAGTGAGAAGTAACCACTAGTACATTTTTTATTACAATAATTTGTACCTAGAGCTCCTTATCCAGAGTCTGCTCTTTTTAATATTTTCACTCACATTCTCATTTCTCATTTCCCCCCACCTCGCTGTTTGTGTTTCTGTACCCACACAGACACTCAGTCGCCATGTTTTTCTTTTCTTTTTTTTTAAAATGTTTTATTTATTTATTCATGAGAGTCAGAGAGAGAGAGAGAGAGGCAGAGGCAGAGGGAGAAGCAGGCTTCCTGCGGAGCAGGGAGCCCGATGTGGGACTTGATCGCAGGACCCCGGGATCATGACCTGAGCCGAAGGCAGACACTTAATGACTGAGCCACCCAGGAGCCCCATGCCCTAGCGTTCTTTGAGCACGTCCTTATTTTCTGAAATCAGGCGCTCAGACTCCTCTTGTTCTCTCCTGGCCCTGGCATCCGCCATTTCTCCAAGGAGACTTGGTGTCTTTTAGTGTGCCGTGGTGTTAAAGGGTCTTGGTGTGCTCGTCAGTACTGTGTAGTGTCTTTGGTTTTTGGCCCATTCAGTGGACGGAGCTAGGGAAGGCATGCGTGTAGATACCAGTGCACGTATACGTGAGCACACAAGCATGTGTGTAGAACTCGTGTGTTCACGCTATGCCTCTAGCTCCAGTGTACCTCTGGGGGTTCTTTCTCTAACTTCCTTCTTTCCATATTTTTTTGGTTTTGTTTTTTTTAAAGATTTTATTAATTTATTTATTTGAGAGAGAGAGCGAGCACAAGCAGGGGGAGTGGGAGAGGGAGAAGCAGGCTCCCCGCTGAGCAGGGAGCCTGATGCGGGGCTCGATCCCAGGACCCGGGGACCATGACCTGAGCCAAAGGCAGCCGCTTAACGACGGAGCCCCCCAGGCACCCCACCTTCTTTCCATATTTGTATGTCCCTTCTTCAACAGTAGAACTCTGGCTCCTGACAAAATCAACACATTTACTCATTCCTATAATAAACCTAAAATAGTTTATTCTTAAATGGACTACATTTACCAAATCCACTTAAAAGAACTCAGGATCACCCCTCCCTGCCCACACTATTAACTTTGGATGAGCATCCTTCTAGATCTCCTTATATACCTATAGGTGAACACATAAATACACACGATTTCATTAAAACATCACCATACTGTGGATATTCCTACCGTAAATGTTCACATATTTCCTCCCACTAATATACACGTCATTAACTTCATTCTGTAACATCATCCAGCATCTTTTTGTCCACAAAATGAGATCTACACACTATTTTCTAATGACTGCAGAGTAAGACTGTGCCATACCTCTCTGTAATTGGACTTTGATTTTAAAAGGCAGCCAAAAATAAATAAATAAATAAATGGCATCCAGTTTTTCGCTATTATATGTAAAGCTGGTATCAACATCTTTGTAACTAAATCTTAATTATTTCCTTAGGGTAGAAGTGGAATTACTGGTCAAAGGGTATGTATATTTTTATGTCTTTTTGGATGGCGATCTGTGCTCTGGCCCGCAGTGGTGGAGGGTGCTGCTGGTTTGTCCAGACCGGCGCTTCTCCGTGGTGGCTGCACATGGGAATCCTCGAGGGCAGTGATCTTGAGAGCAGTGATACCCAGGCCCAACCCCCAGGTCTGGTTTCGGTGGTCCGGGGTGTGGCCAGGATTTGTAGTTTTTAAAGGTTCCCCGAGAGATTCGGATATGCAGCCAACTTGATAGGTAGATTCACATTGTAGTATTACTTCATTATTTTAATTAGCATTTTCTTTTGCAATTATTTTAGACGTTCAGAGTTGGGAGAAGTGGCTCCAGAAGTAAAAGCATCCGAGAGACGAACAGCGGTGGCCATTGCAGGTAATGTGGGGCTTGCACCCGCCCTGCAGCTCGTGTGGTGGGTTCTGGATTCCAGAACATCCGGGGCGGGCGAGCACAGGCCTCAAACATACCGAGGCTTAAGGCTGATGTTTTTCCTTTCATGAAAAGATTCCATTGCAGGGTGTTTTAAACTTCCTTCATCTATTCCAAAGAGGATTCAGTTTCACACCGGTGATTATCCCGCAGTTTACCAGGAACATATCGTCCCAATCTGACCACATCATATCTGCCACCCTGGGTCTGGCATAGGGTGACTGTGTAGTTTCTGACCTGGACACTCCTGAGTGTTTGGTTGGGACAATAGGTATAAGCTGGAGCTGTCCCGGGCAGACTGGGGCTTGTGGTCTTACTGGCCGTGGTTCCTGTGGGCTCGGTCTCTCTCCGTGGATCTGAGGGCCAGGTCTGTGGCTGCCCCTCATGACTTCAGCTTTAAGGGGTGGTGGCCATACTCCAGACATCTTTTCTCTTAGAAACTCATTTTGAATTTATCATTAATTCGGCATTTCTCAAAATAAATATGTCCTATTTGGATTTAATAGGGTTCTGCAAAGATAACCCCACAAAAATAGGCAAAGAAGTTGGGATTAACCAGATTTTGTTTTATTTTGTTCATTTAAACAAATATTTACTGAACACTTAACGTGCGGGCTTCGCAGTAGGGCACTATGAATATAGTAAACAGTAGTGAACAAAATGGCCCTGATCCCTCGTCTCCGTGGAACTCATGTTCTAGAAGGTAGGCCCTGGGGGGCATCAATGACCAGGTCAAGCCTCACAGCAAAATTGGGATCCAGCAGTAATTGGCCAAAGCCCTTCTGTTTCTCAGGATCTAGAACTGTGCTGTTGAGTACGGTAGCCACTAGGCACACAATGCAAACTTAAACAATATTAATAATTGCATTGCTGAGTCACCCTGACCGTATTTCAGGTGCTGAGGAGCCACACAGCCAAGGGGTGCTCGTTGGATGGTGCAGATGGAGACCATTTCCTTTCTCACAGGCAGTTCTGTTTGGAACTAGAGTGTTGCTCTAGAGAGACTGGGAAGACAGCTGGGGTGGGCTCAGGGGAGGGAATCACCTCCCTGGGTGCCTGCTGTGAGCCAGGGGGTTAGTTATCAGTGGTCCTTTGTTCCATTTGGGGAAACTGAGGTTCAGAGACACTGGTACTTCCCCAGAGTTCCATCTTTATTATCTCTCCAGTGAGGAAGCCGCCCATAATTATTTTTTAAAAATTTCCTCCTTGAGCTATGTGACTTCCTCTTCTGCATGATTATTAAGACTGAAAGTAAACTCTTCAACATACAGGATTAAAAAAAAATTGTATTGAAGCTTGATATACCTGTGAAAAAGTGCCCATTTTACCAGTGTGTAGCTTGATATATTTTCACAAGGAGGAACGGACCTATTTTGAGCAGCATCCAGATGAAGGAGCTGAACTCGTCTTTCCCCCCAGTAGCCCTCTCCCCACCTTCCTCTGCCAGTGATAACCATGCTCCCCTTTGTGAAAGCATAGATTAGTTGTGCTATATACAGTCCTCCTACAGAGTTCATTTACCTTATCTCAAGTCTGCGGATGCTAATTACTTCAGAGCTCATTCTTTTATTTTTTTAAAGATTTTATTTATTTATTTGACAGAGAGAGACACAGCGAGAGAGCGGACACAAGCAGGGGGTGTGGGAGAGGGAGAAGCAGGCTCCCTGCTGAGCAGGGAGCCCGACGCTGGGCTCAATCCCAGGACCCTGGGATCATGACCTGAGCCGAAGGCAGATGCTTCACCAACTGAGCCACCCAGGTGCCCCTTTCATAGCTCATTCTTTAAAAGAAATTTTAGAAAACTATTTAAAGAGGATTCTGGGAAGATGGCAGAGTGGAGAGCACCAGGAATCTGTCTCCCAGCTTGGACAGTTGCACTGGCCGGATCTTTCCATGAACTGTCCTGTACCTCTGGAGTCGGTTGGAGGTTTGCAACTTCCAGGGGAAGACTTGCAGAATAAATTTCTAGCTAACTTGGTCAGTTTCATCTGTTAGCACAGTAGCAGCTCCCTGTCTCCCGTTCCCAGATGAGCGTCAGGCACCAGCCAGAGGGGGCAGAAGGAACCCTGTCCGAGTACCAGGGTCTCTGCTGTGCCAGTTACCGCTTCTGATCACAGAGGTGCGGACACAGAGGCGGGTGGCCACTGCTGTTGCCATTGTCACCCTTTACTCATTGTTGCCAGCCCCTCCCCCTCCAGCTGAAGTGACTTCCAGGGGATTTCAAGGCCAGCATCCTTCCTCCCATTAACTTTTTGCTCTTTCCCCTTTTGGGAGGCAGACATTAAAGACTGGGACATTCAAAACAACTGCATATATGGGAAAATTAGAAAGTAATTGTGTGTTCCCAAAGAAAGTCTCAGAAAAGACCTCAGAGGACCTAAACTGTACACCTTGGTTTGATCCTGGCCACAGAGATAGCCTACAGCAAAACATACAACAAACAAAAAACATAACAAAAAGCAGCAAACCCTGGGAAGGGTGGGAGGAATCTGATTTCCAGAGTGACCACATCATTAGATTCAAATATCCAGTGTGCGACAAAGAAAATTACAGGGTATACACAGGAATAGGGAAGTATGACCCGTTCAAGGAAAAAAAATAATGGAACGAAAGCTGTCTCTGAAAAGATGTGGTAGCAGATGTATTAGACGAGGACTTTAAGACAATAAAGATGCTGAAAAATCTAAAGGAAGATGCAGAGAAAGTCAAGAACGTGATGTGTGAGCAAAACAGTGATATCAATAAAGAGCTAGAAAGCCTAAGGAACCAAAGGAAAAGTACAGGAACCAGAATGAAAACTTCACTCGGGTTCAAAGGCAGACTGAGGAGGTGGAAGAAAGGATTGGTGAACTTAAAGACAGGACAATGGAATATATGGAGGCTGAGGACCAGAAAGAGGAAAGATGGAAGAAAAGTGAACAGAGCCTAGGACACTTGTGGGATGCCATCAGTAGGTACTTGTTGTGGGTGTCCCAGAAAGAGGAGAGAGAGAGAGATAAAGGAGCAAGAGAAGATTTGAAGAAATAATGGCTGAGAACTTCTTAAAGAGACATGAATATAAAGTCCAAGAAGCTCAACAGACCCCAAGTAAGATGAATTTGAAGAGGCCCACATGGAGACATGTTGTAATTAAACTTCCAAAAGACAAAGAACGAGTCTTGAAAGCAGCAGCGAAGCAGATCATCCGTACATGGGGTCCTCCAAGATCATCTCTCGATTCCTCATCAGAAACTTCAGAGGCCAGAAGACAGTGGACAGATGATTTAAAGTGCTAAAAGAAACAAGAAATTGTGAGCTAAGAATCCTATATCCAGCAAATCTGTCCTTCCAAAGTGAGGGAGAACCAAAATTCCCGGGGAATAAAAGCTGAGTTGATGACCACTACACCTGCAGGAGATGCTCCAGGGAATCCTGTGGGTGGAAAGAAAGGGCACTAGACAGGGACTTGAAGCCGTATCGAGAAGTAACAATCTCAGTAAAGGTAGATACCTGGGCAGTTCTGACAGCTAATTTAGCAATTTTAATGATGGCCCGTAACTGTACTTTCTGATTTTTTCATGATTTAAGAGACTAATACATTTAAAGAAAAAACAAAAAATGTAAATCTAGTGTCACTGTAACTTTGGTTTGTAACTCCAAATCTTGTTTTCTGTAACTTCTAAGACTTAATGCATTTGAAAGAATTATTAGTTTATGTTCTGGGGCACTCAGTGTATGAAGATGTGATTTTGTGGTATCAACACCCAGAGAGGTGGGGATAGAATGTAAAGGGACAGAGTTTTTGTATGTAAATAGGGCATACAGAAAACAAATAGCACAATGACAGAAGTAAGTGCCTCCTTATCAGTGATTACTTTAAATGTAAAGGGATTAAAATGTCTAGTGAAAAGACAGAGATGGGCAGAATGGATAAAAACAGGACCCAATTATATGCTGTCTACATGAGACTCACTCGAGATCCAAAGATACAAACAGGTTGAGAGTGGAAGGATGGAGAAAATCCTCTATGCGGACAGTAACCAGTGGATAGTAGGAGTGGCTATACTAATATCAGACAGAATAGAGTCCACATAAAAAAGGTTACAAGAGACAGACAAGGACATTATATATTAATAGAGGTCTCAATACAGTGAGAAGGTGTAATTAAACATTCACACATCCAATGACAGACCATCAAAATATTTGAAACAAAAACTGATAGAATTGAGGGAAGAAATAGCTCTACAGCATTAGTTGGGAACATTAATACCCCACTCACAATAATGGATAGAACAACCAGACAGAATACAAGAAAAGAAACAGAGGATTTAAACAACACAGTAAACCGTCCTCATCTAAGAGACACACAGAGCACTTCACCCAGGCACACACATTCTTCTCAAGCGTACACAGGACATTTTCCAGCATAGATATATGCAGGTCCACAAATGAAGTCTACATAGATTTTACAAGATAGATACCATACAGAGTGAGCACAATGGGATGTAGTTGGAATTCAATTAACATAAAACTGAATTTTTTTTAAAATTGTGGACACTAAACACACACTTCTAACCAGTGTATCAAAGGAAGAAATCTCAAGGAAGTTAGAAAATACTTAGAGACAAAGGAAAACAACAACACAGTTTTACAACTTGAGGAACTAGAAGAAGAAGAACAAATGAAACCCACAGCTAGCAAACAGAAGGAAATAATAAAGACCAGAGCAGAGATCAATGAGACAGAGTAGAACAGTGGTACAGAACATCAGTGAAACCAGAAGTGGGTTCTTGGACAAGATCAACAACACTGACAAACTTTTAGCTATATTGACTGAGAAGAAAGGAGAGAAGACTCAAATCACTAAAATCAGATGTGGACATGGGACATTACTACCGATTCTACAGAAATAAAAGGGATTATAAGAGAGTGCTGTGAACAATTGTATGCCAAAAAATCGCTTAGCCTGGATGAAAAGGACAAATTCCTAGGAACACAAAATCTACCAAGACTGAATCACAAAGAAATGAACAATCTGAATAAACCTGTACATAGGAAGGAGATTGAATTTGTAATAAAAAGTCTCCAGACAAGGAAGAACCCTGGTCCTGAAGGCTTCACTGGTGAATTTGACAAATATTTCAATAACTACTTTTCAAACTTTTTCAAACAACTGAAGGGAGGGAAAACTTCCTAACTCGTTCTTGGGGCCAGCACAACCCTGATAACCAAAGTCAGACAAAGAAAAGGAAACTATAGACCGGTATCCTTTAGGATAATTGATGTAAAAATCCTCAGTGGTGTCAACAAAATGAAGGGGAAAATGATGATCTCAGTCGACGGAGAAAAAGCATTTGACAAAATTCCCTACCATTTCTTGATAAAAACGCTCTACAAAGTAGGAGTAGATGGAAACCACCTCCACATGATAAAAACCATACATGGACAACCCACAGCAAACATCACACTCAGTGGTGTGAGACTGAGCTTCTCCTCTAAGATCAGGAACAAGACGGGGAGGCTCACGTCACCGCTCGCATCCAGCCCCGCACTGGAAGTCCCAGCCAGAGCCGCTGGGGGAGAAGAAGAAGTAAAAGCCATCCAAACTGGAAAAAGGGAGAGGTAGAATGATCTGTTTGCAGATGATGTCATCTTGTGTGTAGAAAACCCTAAAGATTTCACAAAAAGCTGTTAGAACTAATAAATAAATTCAGCCAAGCAGGAGGATACAAAGCCAACACTGAAAAATCAGTTACATTTCTCTACATGAGTAGTGAGCACATGGAAGAGGAAATCACAAAAACCTTTCCATTTACATTAGCATTGAAAAGAATAAAATACTTAGGAATTAACCAAGGAGGTGAAAGAATTATATAATAAAACTACAAAAGATTGCTGCAGAAATTAAAGAAGACATAAATAAATGGAAACACATCTCATGTCCATGGATGGAAAGACTTAATATTAAAATGTATCACCCAAAGTGATGTGCAGGTTGATTGCAGTCCCCATCAAAAAGCCAATGACATTTTGCAGAAAAGGAAAAACCCATCCTTCATATGGAATCTTAAGGGCCAGTGAGTAGCCAAGACAGTCTTGAGGAAGAATAGAACTACTACAGACAACAGTCAAGACAGTGTGGTCCTGGCATCAAGACACACATCTAGACCAGAGCAATAGCCCAGAAATAAACCCTCCTGTGTGTGGTCAGTTGATTTTTGTCAAGGGTGCCAAGAACATTCACTGGGTACAGGACAGTCTTTTCAACACATGGTGTTGGGAAAGCTGGACATTCACATGCAAAATAACGAAGTCAGACCCTTACCCAACACTGTATACAAAAGTTAGCTCAAAATGGATCAGTGTCATCCTAAATGCAAGACCTAAAACAAAATGCTTGGAAGAAAACATGGGGCAAAAGCGTCACGCATTTGGGTGTGGCAGCGATTTCCTGGAGGTGACACCGCAGACAAAGTCGACAAGAACAAAATGAGACAAATGGGACCACGTGAAAAGTTCAACATTTTGGGCCTCGGAGGACACTCCATGGGGCATAAAGGGCAGCCGCAGAATGGGAGACAGTATTTACAAACCATGCGTCTGACGAGGGATTAATATCCAGAATATCTGGAGAGCTCCTAAAACTCCACAACCAAACCAACACAATTTGCAAATGGGCAAAGGACTTGAGCGGACATTTCTCCAAAGACAGTGTATGAAGGGCAGTGAGCACTTGCAAAGGTGCTCAGCATCACTGGCCTCTAGGGACATGCAAACACAAACCACAGTCCCACCAGCACTCAGCCCTGCTGCATGGCCACTGTCACACAGAGAGAGACCGAGAGCAAGTGCTGGTGGACCCTTCTGCCACGTCCCTGCCTGAAAGCCTGCTGCCTTCTCCGCTGCCCACCGGTGCCAACCTGGGCTCCCAGCCATCTCCGCCCGTGGACCACTAGGCTCTCCTGCCCCTCAGTGGCTCCCGCAGGTTGAGAGGTGGGCCCTCTGGTCACGGTGGGCCTCCTTGTTGTCATCTGTAATCTGTAGGCTCTCCTGCCCCTCGGTGGCTCCCACAGGTCGAGAGGGGGGGCCCTCTGGCCACGGTGGGCCTCCTTGTTGTCATCTGTAATCTGTCCAGTCCAATCAGAGCCATGTCCCATCCCTAACAAAGGGAGGCCCCAGCCTCTGTGGGTCTGAGGTTTACTCCTTGATCCCTGCTCACAGCTGCTCTGAGTCACCTCCAGCCCATTCCAGGCGTTTCTCCATGTCTTGTCCCCTCCTTTAACTGCTGTATTTTCTCAGAGGGCATTTTGAATTCCTTGGAAAAATTCTTCTGATGTCTTTTATCCACTTTGGATAAAATAATCTTTTGATTGCTCAACGCTGTGGTTTGATGTGTGTGAATCATCTTTCATGATTTCCTGTTTCTCTTCTCTGCTCTTCATATCTGTCTCCAGAGACACGTCAAAGATGACTGAAAGGCCACGTTTATCTACTTGACTGTATGGAAATCATGAGAGGAGTTAATCTGAAAATATCAGAATCTTTTTTTGATTCATAAGCTTTAAAAAATGTAATTTTAATTTTGGATTAGATGATAGTCTTACTTGGATCAGAGCACAGAACAATAAAAAAGTGCACAATGGGGCAGCTGGGTGGCTTGGTCGGTTGAGCATCCAACTCTTGATTTTTGGCTCAGGTCATGATCTCGGGGTCCTGGGATCGAGCCCCACGTCGGGCTCCACGCTCAGTGCAGAGCCTTGCTTGTCCCTCTCCCTCTGCTCCTCCCCTGCTCTCTCTCTCTCTGTGTCCCTCAAATAAATAAATAAGTAATCTTTAAAAAAAATAAAAATGATGTTTGTAGAAGGTAATCTTGAAATTGAGCCAAGGAATTTACAATTGATTTATGTTTTAAATAGTTTCTAAAATCAAAGATTAATCTATATAAATGTCGTGGACTTATTTGTATTTTATTCTCAGAAACTTCAGTAAATTCTTACAAGAATATATCCTAGAGCAAATCGCTATCTTGTATGTAGCTACCACTACTCTGTGTCATATTTGGGGTTGGAAAACAGAAATTTACATAGGAAGAACTGAAGCCAATCCCAGCACTAAAAGTAAACACGAAACTTTTGGTAGAAAGGTCCAAGCTTACTGATGAAAGTCAACATGTGTGTGCTTTCTTCCAGATTTGGAATGGAGAGACATGGACCCAGATGACTGTGAGTTTGGTTGTGGAGGTGGAGACAGCAGGGTTGGGATTGGCCTGGGGATGGGCGCGTGAAGTGGGGCATGACTGGGATTTTATATTGTGAGCAGTTAGGAGAAGTTACTGTCTTAGTGAGAGGAAGGAGGTTCCCAGTTTAGCCTAACTTGTGTTGATCTAAGGTGCTGATTTGACTGACGCCTCATTTTCCTTTGCTTTTGTAGATGGTACAAATGAGGCCCAGGACAGTGACTTCCCAGCAGGTACGCATTTTCCCCCGCTCCGACTCCCTGTCCCATTGCAGGAGGACCGGGCTGTGTGAGAGCCCCTCTTGCCCCTGGCCCTGGATGGTGACCGAGACGGAGACTAGCAGGGGCAAGCGCAGGACTCTTATTTTTGACGAGTTCCCAAAGTAATTCTAAAAGCTCAGGCAGGTTTGGGAAGCCCTCAGCTGTTCCCGTGGTCGCATTCCTCCTGCGGGCCCCACACCGGGTGGGGGTGCACGGGGGGCTTCTTGCTCTTGCTTTTCCCCAGCGCATTTCACTGCCTGCTGCTTAAAGGGCGAAACCAGTTGCTCATGTCTGGGTAAGAGAATCCACATCCCTGTTCGTTCAGGCAACACCCAGACACCTGAGCCGCAGTGTGAAGGGTTTCTGCCCCCTGTGTCCCCCTGCAGCTCTTTTGTTTCTGCAGTAAGTTCCGCAGCCCTGTGCCCAGCGGAATGCGCTACCTGCAGGGCCCTCAGGGGAGGAGACACCTGTGCCCCAGGGTTGGGTCCCCCTGGGGGGCCGTCCCCCAACTGCTCGGGCACCTGTGACTCAGGGCTGGGTCCCCCTGGGGGGCCATCCCCCGACTGCTCGGGCACCTGTGACTCGGGGCTGGGTCCCCCTGGGGGGCCATCCCCCGACTGCTCGGGCACCTGTGACTCGGGGCTGGGTCCCGCTGGGGGGCCATCCCCCGACTGCTCAGGCACCTGTGACTCAGGGCTGGGTCCCGCTGGGGGGCCGTCTCCTGACTGTTCTTTGGTTTATGTGAACATGCAGCTTCATGATGGAGAAGATCCTGGAGCTCAGTGGGATTTGCATTGTTCATGTAGTTAACACTGAAATCGTACTAATTATATACAGTAGGACAATTGGTGACACCTCACGGCCAAGGACAGGGATAGTGGGCAAAACCTAGGGCTCGTAAGAACTCATATTGCATCGGACGATGGTGGAAGGCCTGAACAAGTGCAGGCTTCTGATCATCGCTACCAAATATGTTGCCAGGGTAACACTGAAAACCACGTGATTGGCTTCAGATTTGCAAAATGGTTGTGTAGCTATGATTTCTGTGACTGGATTTAGTCACAACTTCCTGTTTCCTTTAAAAATCCTCCCCATTTATTTGTAAAAAAGAAGAGAACATTGCCTAGAAAGTCTGAGTGACTCGGGGACTGTGTCCCCTGTGGGAAATTCCTGCTGCGCCCAGGATGTGGGACAGGCCATGGGGTCACGTGCGGGCGCATGGCTGTGCACGCTACACAGTTACGGTGGGCCCAGCATAGCTGGGTCTCATGGGTTTCAAGAGAACCCAGACATGTGGACCTTTTCACAGCATCTGCCAATCCTTAAATGTGGCCCCTGGGTGTCCTCTTCTTTCTAACGTTGCACGTGTCTCGCTATGTTTGCCCCTGTTGGTCTCAGGAGGAGCAGGGCACGCACACCCCGCTTTCTGAAGGATCGAGGCCATCTCCCTCCCCATCTCCTGCTGGGGCCCCTGACTTGCAGGGTGAGCACTGATGTCTTCTTTTCCCCCTGCAGTGGAGAGGAGCAGGCTGCAGGAAATGCTGTCTCTTCTGGGGCTGGAGACCTACCAGGCCCAGAAGCTCAGCCTCCAGGACTCCCTGCAGATCAGCAGTGACAGCATGAAGAACTGGGCCCCTCAGGCTCCCAAGGACTTGCCCTGGAATTTCCTCAGGAAGCTGCAGGTCCTCAACGCTGAAGCCAGGAACACCACCATGGTGCTGGACGTGCCCCCGGACGCCAGGCCCGCGGAGAAGGAGAGCCAGATGGAAGAGGAGATCATCTACTGGGACGCGGCCGACGACATCTCCGCGGACATCTATTCCTTCTCTGAGCTGCCAACGCCTGACACACCTGTGAACCCCTTGGACCTCCTCTGTGCCCTTCTGCTGTCCTCGGACAGTTTCCTACAACAAGAAATCGTGCACAGAATGTCCCTCTGCCAGTTTGCACTCCCCCTCGTCCTACCCGACTCGGAGAACCACTACCACACGTTTCTGCTATGGGCCCTGAGGGGCGTTGTGCGGACGTGGTGGGCGCAGCCCCCACGGGGGGTGGGCAGCCTCCGAGAAGACAGCGCGGTGCTGTCGCGGGCGCCCGCCTTCGCCTTCGTGCGCATGGAGGTCAGCAGCAACTCCAAGTCCCAGCTCCTCAACGCCGTGCTCAGCCCAGGCCACAGGCCGCGGGACTGCTTCTGGCACCGCGATCTGAACGTGGGCACCAACCCTCGGGAGATTGCAGACGGGCTGGTGGAAGTCTCCTGGTTTCTTCCCAGCGGCAGGGAGGACCTGGACGTTTTCCCGGAGCCTGTGGCCTTTCTGAACCTGAGGGGCGACATCGGGTCTCACTGGCTGCAGTTTAAGCTGTTGACCGAAGTGTCGTCTGCCGTGTTCATCTTGACTGACAACATCAGCAAGAAGGAGTACAAGCTTCTGTACCCCATGAAGGGGTCGGCCACGAAATACTACTTCATCCTGAGCCCGTACCGCGGGAAGCGGAACACGAACCTGCGCTTCCTCAACAGGCTCATCCCAGTGCTGAAGATGGACCACTCGCACGTCCTGGTGAAGGTCAGCAGCACGGACAGCGCGGGCTTCGTGCGCAGGGTCCGCTCCATTGTGGCTCACGTGGCCCGCTCCCCCTGCAGGAGGCTGTCTCTGGAGGAAATGGCCCACGCGGCGCGCAAGCTGGGGCTGCGGGTGGACGAGGACTGTGCCGAGTGTCAGCGGGCCAAGGACCGGATGGAGCGCATCACCAGGAAAATCAAAGACTCGGATGCCTACCGCAGGGACGAGCTGAGGCTGCAGGGGGACCCGTGGAGGAAGGTGGCCCAGGTGGAGAAGGAGCTGTGCCAGGCCCAGTGGGCCGGGGACCCTCCAGACAAGGGCAGGGCCGAGCTGAGGCTCCGGCTGCTGGAACTGCGGGCACAGCAGAACGGACACGAGCCCGCCGGGGGCGTGCAGGAGTTCATCGCGGGCATCAGCGGCCCCTCCCTGGGCGAGAAGCAGTACTTCCTGAGGTGGATGGAGTGGGGGCTGGCCCGGGTGGCCCCGCCGAGGCCGAGACAGCCTCCGGAGAGCATTCTCACGCTGAGACCGAAACACTGTGGGGTCGTGGACTTCAGCGAGCTGCTCTGGCCAGAGCCCCTGGGGGTGGAGCACTTCCTGCGGGAGATGGGGCAGTTTTATGAGGCAGAGAGCTGCCTCGTGGAGGCAGGGAAGCTGCCGGCCAGCCAGAGGCGCTTTGCCCACTTCCCAGGCTTGGCCTTGGAGCTGCTACTGAAGGGGCTTCCCTTGGAGCTGATCGACGGGAGCACGCTGAGCACCCCCCTGCGCTGGGTCACGGGGCTCCTCAAGGAGCTGCACGTGCGCCTGGAGCGGAGGTCGAGACTGGTGGTCCTGTCGGCGCTGGGTGTGCCGGGCACAGGCAAGTCCACGCTTCTCAACACCATGTTTGGGCTGCGCTTTGCCACAGGGCGTGGATGTGGGCCTCGAGGGGCCTTCATGCAGCTTGTCACGGTGGCCGAGAGCTTCAGCCAGGACCTGGGCTGTGACCACATCCTGGTGATAGACTCTGGGAGCCTCATAGGCGGGGCCCTGGCCTCGGCCGGGGAGAGGTTTGAGCTGGAGGCCTCCCTGGCCACGTTGCTCATGGGGCTGAGCAACGTCACCGTGGTCAGTTTAGCCGAGACCAGGGACATACCACCGGCCATTCTGCACGCGTTTCTGAGGTTGGAAAAAACAGGGCACATGCCCAACTATCAGTTTGTGTACCAGAACCTTCATGACGCGTGTGCCCCCGGCCCCAGGCCGAGAGAGAGGAGGCCGCTCCTGGAGCCGCCCGGTGATGTGAGCAGAGCCGTGGCGCAAATGGAGAAACAGGGCGGCGGCATCCGGACGCTGGCGGACCTGGCTTTCTGTGACCCCGAGAAGCAGCATATCTGGCACATCCCTGGCCTGTGGCACGGGGTGCCTCCCATGGCCGCGGTGAGCTTGGGGTACAGCGAGGCCATTTTTGAGTTAAAGAGATGCCTGTTGGAAAACATCAGGAATGGCCTGTCCAACCAGAACAAAAACATCCAGCAGCTCATTGAGCTGGTCAGACGGCTCTGAGTGTCCAGAGAGTGGCCTGTTCCAGGGGCGGTGTCCTCCCGGGGCCGAGCCCGGCACCTGAGCGGGGCTGGCGGCTGACCGGTGTGAGAAGGGAGAAAAACGAAAGCCAGGGGGCCTGGGGTTTCCTGCCCAGTGTTGAGAAAGGAGGTGACCTTGCAGACCAGGTCAGAGATGCTCTCAGGAGCAGAGAGGCTCTGGGGGGCGGCGCGGGGACTCCGCAGTGATTCACTCTGTGTCCAGGCTCCCTCTCTGTGCCCCCCGAGCGCAGCCAGGACGCTGCCCTGAGGAAGCGGGGGACAGGCCTTCGGCGACTCCGTCCTGCCGGTTCAACTGCCCCGTCCCCTGCACAGCCTTCTGTTTACACCGTCCCCCCACAGCCATCTGTTTACACCTCCGCCACACTCAGCCCAGCGCATCCCTCTTGCTCTGCTCCCGCGTCTGCCCCGCCCCAGACTGTGACCTCCTTGAAGGGAGGGTTGTGTGTGACCTGACTGTCCCCTGGGGCCTGGCTCAGGGCCTGGCACACTGTAGACACTTAATAAATGTTTGTTAAAAGACTGGAATGAATGAATGTGCAAATGACGGTGACAGGCAGGTTCCTCTCTGCCTTGATTTTCCTGTTTCCTCAAAGAGCATCAGTGTCTGAGGAGGGGTGCAGGACAGAAGGTCAGGAATGGCGGACGCCCAAGAGAAGCATCTCACAAATGCCCCACTGTCCCCCGTCTTTAAGCAGAGCTCTGCCCTGCAGGCTGTTCCTGGGAGCAGGACTCGGTGTCTTCATGGTCATGTGGGGCATGGCCGTGGCCATCCCACTGCCACCAGAAGGGAGGCCTAGAGCAGTGAAGCCCCCGCCCACACAGCTCAGTGGGGTGGGGGCTGATGGACAGGCTCTGCCTGGCCCACGGCTCATCCCCAGACCCCCACAGCTGCCAGGCCAACCCCAGCCGGCCCCTGGCATGCCCTGCATCTCACTTCAGGCCTGTGGGGCCAGGCTCCCGCCCTGACGGCATCTGTGGCCACTGGCCACGTGTGAGCTCCCCCACTGTGGATGCTGTGACTGAATCCTGGCCTGCGCTGGTCCTCCACTGAGGCCAGAGGCACCCCAGGGTCCCTGGAACCCAACCCCAGCTCTTTGAGCTCTGGGAACCTGCTGCTTAGGCCTTGGGGGCTCCTTCCCTCTGTATGTTGTGACTTTGGGGAAACCGGGCCCTCCCCGCCCTCCGTGGTGACTGGAAGCCCCTCGGTGTTCCTTGTCCCCCTCTTGCCAGACCCGGCCAGGCAGCCCTCTGGATGGGAACCCTTTCTTGAACTGCAAGCCCCCGGGCCCCTTTCCTGCAGCCTCAGGCCGCTATAGCTGAGGCGCCCCTGATATTCGGCATTGTTCCTGCATCCTGGGAGCCTGGCTCTGGACGCACAAGACGGGGGCTGAAAGCAGTACTGGGACTCAGAAAACCTGACCTCTAGCTGATAAATTTAGGAAAACCTTTTCCCTCCTGAGACGCAGAAAGAATGTCTAACCCTCAGGCACTAGAAACTCATCTCTTCGGGATCCTTAACACAAATCTCAAGATGTTGGTTCACCTGGAAATACCAAAGCCTCTCCTTCCTTCCTTCCCCCAGCGCCGTGGGGCTACCCAGTTGCTTCTCCAGCACTGTAGGAACATCACCCGGGATACTCATGGGTCCAGAGCTCAGGGAAAGCTCCCTTAGAATTGTTGAATATCGATTCCCTTACAAACTGATTCGAGCTCTTCTTGAATCTGAACCACGGAAGTTATCCCTCGTGGCTCTGACAATCGCCCAAAGAGAAGGTTTAATCATTGAATTCCAGAAAATTAGGTGCGTGCTCCCCCCCCCCCCCGCCCCGGGGGAAAGAGTTTGACAGACTTTCAAAAGGATGCAGGATCCGAAATAGATGATTAACTGCTTAGTAATCAGGAAAATCACTGTATGTGAAATTTCATCCAACAGTTGCCGAAAGCGTTTAAACTTTCGCAAACAGACCAGTCTAAAGACGGTGTAACAGAATCAGCAGGAGGGTGCCCTGGGCAGGACCCCGGGGGTGGTGGGGGGACTCGCTGTCTAACCGAGCCCCGAGCTGTCTGGGCAATGTGAGACCGGTGCCCCCTAGGAGCGGGGACTGGAGACATAGCGCTGGAGCCTCGGAGAGTGTCCGTCACGGCGTTCCCCTCATCCTGTTTTGGATGATGTTAGGTCCCACCAGGGCTTCTCCTTCAGACCCCGAAGTCAGTGCTGCTCTTGCAATTCCAACTTCCAGAAACCTGTGTCTTGCCTGGGGCCAGACCCTGGGCTCCAAACGCTAAGCATGAGTTTGTCCTGCCCGGTCCTGGGCTCCCCACAGCCTGAGGGCCCTGCCTCGGGCCTGAAGACATCAGGGGCCCTGGGGCCCTGGTGCTACTGGGCCCTTGTGCCCATGGGGCTGAGCTTAGTGAGGCGGAGAGCCACCCGGAGACCGAAGGTGAACATGCTGCTCACGGGGGACCCAGGTACTTTGGTGAGTGTGAACCCTGTCAGTGATGGAGTAAATGTGCCCGGGAGTCTGAGCCCAGGTACAGGAGAGCCTGCCCCTGTCCCAGGACAGCAGAAGTTGTTCTCGGCTGGTGGGACACCCGGCCTGGACCTTGCTTCCTGCTAATGATGTTGCCCTTGGGCAAAGTCACTCAACTTCCCTGTGCCTTGCCCTGCCCCCATGCGCACCTGCTCAGTGGTGGGTGCACCAGCTCGGTTTGTGCGCACAAGCAAGGCGCCGTGTCTGCACCAGTCTGCACACGCAGGAGGCTCAAGCGAAGGGAAGTGCCTGCTTTCTGCATCAGTCTCAAACATTTCAGCATGCCAAACAGCATTCATCTTGTCATCAGTGCTATCTTAAAATTAATTGGCAGCCCTTTCTCTTAACGGTACACAAAGCAATGTCTTCTAATCAATGTTATCTTAGATTTATTTATTGATTTAAGTTTTTTTTAAATTTATTTGAGAGAGAGAGAGAGCCCGAGCAGGGTGAGGGGCAGAGGGAGAGGCGGACTTCTCGCTGAGCAGGGAGCCCGATGCGGGGCTCGATCTCGGGACTCCGGGACCATGACCTGAGCCGAAGGCAGACACTTCACCGACTGAGCCACCCCGGCGCCCCTTATCTTATATTTACTGACACACAGGCTGGTTTTGAGAATTCTGTACCAATGTCAGCCTGATATGGCTTCTCTCCCCAGCTCCTCAGTTGTAATTCGCCCAATTTAAAAAAAAAAGAAAAAAAACTTTATTTTTTTTTGAGTCAGTAATAAAAAAATGATTTTGGTTATAAACTTATCCTGAGTTCCTAAGACTTCAGCCAAATTACATCAGAGTGCGGCTTTACGGGCCCGGATGAGTCAGGACCACAGAAGTGAGCCAGCTGATGTCGATCCTGGTTTTGCCGACCTTCCGCCCCTCACCCCACAGCACCCACCCTGCAGAGGTGGCTTCACTCATGCTGTTGTCCGCCTGGGGCTCCGACTCGTCCCTGGTCCTGGACGACTCTGGTAGTCACCTCTCTCAGGATGGCCTCCGGTGGCAGCCCCCCTCTAGTCCACCCCCTGTCTGTGTCCTACCTCCTTTTACTTGTCAGCTTTTCTGCCCTCCCCATCTGGGCTTCCTGTGGAAGGCAGAGCCTCGTGCCCATTTTTGTGTCCAGATCTAGCATGGGGTGTGAGAACCAGGAGCTCCAGTGGCCTGCACACAGGAGGTCCAGTCCGCTATTCATCCTCTCCGCGCCGCGGATAGCTCCGCCATCAGTGGACTGGGTCTCTTCCCTCAGTGCCCCTATGCAGAAGCATCATTAACCCACTGAACTTCCCCCTTCTTCCTGTGCCTCAGCAGAGGGAGAGCAGGGGTAGGGGAATGCGGGATTGGCCCCCCTCTGGCTACCTGTGCAGAAACAAGAGGACAGACAATTCAAGACTCAGTTTTAACTGGACTTCATTGGTGGTTTGGCTTAGTTCCCAGAACAGAGCTGAGAGCCTCTGGGATTCTTCTTTGGTGAATGGTTGGTCATTAGGAGAAAATGAATTACCAGGAGTACGAAGTACCAGATTTAGCAGAGGTTTACAAAATGCGAAACGTTAGCAGTTCTGAGTTAGGGTAAGTCCGCACGAATAGGGGTGTCTTGGCTAACCCTGCATCCAACAGGAAGGCAGACGTCTCCAGCTAAGGCATCCCTCCCTGAGGCTAGATTCTGGTGACTTCCAAGGAAAGAAGACCACGTTCCAGGCTGGACTGCTTTCCGCAAGTTCAGCTGGGCCCACAGTCTCTGTCTCACCCACTGTCCTGCAGCCTGGCCAGCACCGCATCCTCCGGGACAGGTGCGCCCTTGAGCTGTGCCGGAACGCACTGGACCGTCTCAGAGAAGTCCAGACGAGCCAGCGGGCCCCCTCCTATGCCTTGTGGCCCAAGAGCGGCAGGACTGGATGAAGGCCAGGCCTCTCGGAGGGAGACCTGCCCCAGTCTTGCAGGACCAGTGGTACAAAAGAGGTGTGAGGAGCAGCCAACAGCCCTCTCCCTGAGAAGGATCTCTCCAAATCAGGTTCTGGGAGTCTCCCACATAAACTTGGAGTTTGGGACACTAGTTCTAGCCTGGCTGTACATCGGCATCCTCTAAGCAGCATTGAAAAGGCATGGGTGTCGCCCCCTCCGTTCCGTCAGTCCCATCCTTGGGGGCGGGGGGCAGCGGACTCCAGACGAGCAGCCGTGAAAGCATAAAGGCGACCCTAGCTCTTCCCGGTTACCATGGAGAGCAAAGAGGCTCACGTCTGCGAAGAGACAGGTGCGCATCCTTGCCTTCCCAGGGTTCTGGTGTGGGAACCCAGGTGGGCCATTCATATGGGTCTCTTGTTCCTAAATGTGGTTGCTCTATTTCCAAGAAGTCCTCCAGAGCCAAGTCCTGAGCTTTCTGCACCCACCTCCAGAAACCCAGGCCATTCCCCCAACGCACATGGTTCTGAATGCTCACCCCATGACGCAGGGGGACCCCGGATAAGGAACATACTTTGGAACAAGGAGCTTGCTACCACTTGCTAGTTCTGTGACCCCCAGGTGACTCTCTGAGCCTCCATTTTCTGTTCTGCAAGACTACTGCCTCCTTTATAGGGCTGACGGGAGAAGCAAAATACATCAAAACACGAACAGGGGCGCCTGGGGGGCTCAGTTGGTGAACCGTCTGCCTTGGGCTCAGGTCACGATCTCAGAGTCCTGGGATCGAGTCCGGCGTCGGGCTCCCTGATCAGTGGGGAGTCTGCTTCTCCCTCTGTCTCTCCCTCTGTGCCCCCCACCCCGGCTTGTGCTCTGTCTCTGTCTCTCTCTCTCTGACAAAATAAATAAAATAAGAAAACCACTAACAAATGCAAATGGCAGAAAAATAAAAACATCCCCTTAAACTGTTTCCACTGGCAATTTAAAACAACGTAATGATCCATACTAATGTTTAAGAAAAATTGTTTTCGGTTATTTCAATCATGCAAACACACCCCCAGCCCCACCCCCAGCAAGGAACCAGCTGGAACCCTTTTTGTAA